TAAAGCACAGCTGTTTAAAAAGGAGAGTTTACCAAGGGACCCAGGCCCAGATGCCTCTGTGTGCTGGATTTTCCTTGTCCATAGGTGTTCTGAGCACCACCACCCCCAGCCCTTGGGGCAGACAGGCCACCGCGTCTGCACCTATCCTGAGCAGGCCTAGGCTTCCCCTGTCAGACACCACAGGCCTCAACTAGCATGGAGGTGTTCAAATAGAAGAATCAGAATAAGGATAAGAGTGGAAAGAAACAGTTTGCTGGATCTCAGCACAGCAAAGTACAGTGATCCCTCTGTAGTATGCAAACCACACTAGCCTTGCTGGGTTGAGATCATTCCCAAAAGAAGTTCTTTCCCTGGATGGCTAGTAAAAAGGTAATCATATACGCATAATCTCACAAATTAAAGAGAACAAGGTTAGGTAGGGTGCAGATTCATTGTACAAAACAAAAAAGCCTTCCCATTCTCTCTCTAAGTGATGGGAACAGGACACTCACTGAAATGCAGTGCCTGTTTGAGGCCTTTACAACCTGACAGTAGCTTAGTCATCAGTGTATTTTCCCCCATGCCAGGGATGATTTGATAGGATAAGGTTCCGAACTCTCTCTGGGTACTTACTAAATCTTTGTGACTGACCAGGTGACCTCTTGTCTCTTCCCTTTTTCTTGTACTGGGGCCTCGAGGGCCATGTCCTGAGCTTTCACCGTCAACCTCCAACCAGTGACGTCAGCCTTCTCTCCCTGGCTTCCTCCCTCTGAGTCCCGGGCGCCCTTGCCTTTGCCCCATACATGCAATCCATCTTCCTTCTATTATCCTCTTGTCTTGGCTGCCTGTGTCCACTGTGTCCGAAATAGTATAGGCATGTGGCAAACGAAAGGCTGAAGGGAAAGTGAGCAGTGTGGTTGATAATTAAGGATGAGGACTTCGGAACCAGACAGACCTGCTTTGGCGTCCTGCCTGCGTGTCATTCACTATGTGATCTTAATGTCAGCAGCTGCAGTTCTTTCGCTTATAGAATGAGGATCAGAACACGCATTCAGAGAGCTGTGAGAGGTGTAAAGGAGACTCTACACAATACTTATTTTATGAGTACCTGTCTTAAAATAAGCATTCAGTACAGTTACTAGGTCTTCAGTCCTCTGATTGAGTCTTATTCCTGTAAGACTGGCCTGGTGAGGTAGCACTGAGTTTCCTAATACATTATTTCTTACTTAGGTATTAATGACTAACTGTGTTTCTCTTCTATGTTTTTTAGGGCATTTGCATTTTGTCACAGAAATTTTAGACATAATTCAAAGCCATCTATCTGATGGAGAAATTTTAGTCCAGCAACGGAAATTCTTCAAAGTACAGGTTGAACTTTGAGAATCACTGATTGTTTTGTGCCAGGAGCTTGATGCCTATGGCACCTGTGCATTCTGTGGGCCTTGGTGATGTGACTTTGATTAAAAGCTCCTACAAGGAGGGACATAAACTGCCCCCAAGGTTCTCTTGGTAAAGTGTCATGCCTGATGGAGTCCTAATGGAATCTCTTTTATCTGGGGGATTGTCTTCTACAATGTCACTGAGGAGGAATTCTGTTCCCCATTCTAAGTCACCCATCCAGCTACGCATGGTGATGACCTTACACCACCATCCATGTGCCTGACAAACAATTCTTACTCCCTCACTGCCTATTATTTTTGGGGGGTTGGGCAGGAAAGTGTTCTCAGGAGATAATCCTCCATGTAAAGGAGGTAACTGTGGCCCATGGAAGTGGGATAACTCCCTAAAATAGCAAACCAAGTTTATATTAGAGTCAGGACTTGGGCCCAGGCCTCTCTAGTGCCTGGTGTTGGTACTGTTTGGAAGTGGGATAACTCCCTAAAATAGCAAACCAAGTTTATATTAGAGTCAGGACTTGGGCCCAGGCCTCTCTAGTGCCTGGTGTTGGTACTGTTTGCCTGTGGCAGGGCCTGTGATACATGTACTGCACAGCACGGGCTTTGCCCTGGGAATGCTTGGCTTGATTCCTGTCTGTAGTGCCTACTGTTTTTGTGACCTTGAAGAGCTACTCAATCTCCAAATCTTAGTTTTATCACCTGCAAAATGGGGAGAGGGGAGGTAAAAATAGTATCAACTTCATCCAGGTGTTCTGAGAATTAAAGATTATCTGTACAAAGAGCTTAGCACAGTGCCTGGCACACATGCCCTAAATAAATGCCTTTGTCGTCATTAACTGCTCACTACAACCACTGCTAGCTCTGTTACTGTTTCTCCAATCCTGGTGGCTTAGAGAAAGTACTGGTGCTGCTTAGTGTGTGCCAAGCTGCCCAGGGAGTGGCCTGAGCAGCGGGAGAATCTGGCAGAACAGGTTTTTTCAAAGCGGTGGGAAATAAATCAAAGGCAATACCCAAACCTGGAAAAAGAATGTATTCCTTTGTTTGTTCTTTACTAGCTGTAAAAAAATACCTTCAAAATGTAACTTATGTTGAGATAAATCAGTGGCCACCTTAAGGTGACATGACCAAACCTCTTCGGCCTGTGCTCGTCCTGCCCCATGAGGACAGACGGTGGCTGCTTTGTTTCTGCCAAATGCGCTAATGGCTGACAGTGCTCTGTGGCAATCAGTAAGCAAACAAGATTAGAAGTCAGTGAAACATGTGGAGACACCAGAGATGGTGGGGAGGGGGGCACAGAGGCTTCACACCCTGGTACAAAGTTACCTACCCCTTCTGGCAAACTTCATTACCAAATGTCAAGTCCATGGGACTTGGTGAGGCCTCCTTGTTGAAAGTAACAGAAGCCCAACTCATATTAGCTTAAGCAGAAAGGGGAGTTTATCATATAGATTCCACAGTGTATCAAGGAGAACAAAGGGGACAGGCAGAGCTGACTGGGGATTGAAATCAGGCCCTCAAATGCTATCAATGCTTGTGTCTCTCCTCTCTGCACCGTGCTTCTCTTCCTAGAGTCTTACTTCCACTGTGGCTCTGGTTGACATAATGCAATAACAGCTCACAGGTGTTGTAAATGACTGTACACCCACCCAAAGAAGGCCTGGGCTCTCTTCTACACTTCCAGAATCCCCATGGAGGGAACTGGCTGGCCCAACTCTGGTCCTGTTCCTTATTTACCAATTAACCATGGTAAATGGTGAAAGCTGGTTACACCTACATGGCAGAGCCCCCATGACTCTGTACCACTTGTGAGCCGACAAACCACAGGTAAGGGATTGATGAGTGACATGACAAGGAACATTGTTCACCATCAACCCTGTGCTGCATGCTCAGACTCCTGGTGATTTTACCAGAGAGAGAGGATGTCTCTGTGCTCACTGCCCCCAGCTCCTTCATGCTGGGTGGGCCCCAGCCCTAAACAATCCTATTCCAGCATAATATGGTGGAAATTACACAGGCTTTAGAATTACACAGACCTAGAGTTAAAGCCTTAGCCTACCTCTTACTAGCTGTGTGACACTGGGCAAATTATTTAGCCTCTCTGAGCCTTCATTTTCTTATCTACAAAATAATACACATATAACGGGGTTGTTGTAGACTAAGGAAAATAAAGTAACCATATTTAAAATACTTGGCATATAATAGATTTTCGGTTACATGAATTATATTTTCTAATTAGTTTACCTAGAAGTATTCAGGATGGGAGGGAGTAGAGGCAAGTGAAGAGAAGAAAAAGAGAAGTGATTATATTTTAAATCTGGGAAGTATCCTTCTACCTCAGGTATTTTACATTCATCCTGAGCAAACATTAAAAATTTTAAGTAGGTCAACTGCATTGGGAAAGCCACACTTTGATAAACATAGTCTTTCACTTTAGAGGCAAATCAACAAGGATCTCAAGATCAATGGTGAATCTTTTTTTTATGTTCCTTTTAATTTATTGGTGACTGCCTGGTCCTTAAATCTTTCTCTATAATGTCTAAAGTTCGTACAATACTGTAATTCCTGAGTTAGTCAATGAAGTACTTCAACATTCTGTTTTTACTGTTGCTATTTAGAGAGGTGATCCTCTTTGAGAATGTATAAGCCATGTTGTTTTTATAAACTATAATTTATTAGTTCTTATTACAGCAAGGACTGTGCCGAATTTTTACATGCATTGTCTTATTTCTTCCTATGAGTTAAGTGCTGTTGTTCCTATCTTCCAGATAAGGAAATTGAGGCTTGGATAGTAAAATGCCAAGGCCACTTAGTACTCAATGACAGAACTGGAATTTGAGCTCAGCGGGCTGCAGAGCCTGAGTTCTTCCCCATTGTGCTGTACTGCCTCTCTGCACCTTGGGTTTGGGTTCAAGGCTTAGAGACAGGCAGCTTAAGAAATGAATCCCCAGGAAAATCTGTGCTTAGAGTGTCTCATTTGATCAATAACTTCAGGGCTTCTGTGCACCACATAATGTAGGTACATAGGCCTCAGTGCAAAGCTGCAGAATTATAGGAAGAACAACAGTTGAACAATAGACAGACTATCTCCTTGGACATGACAACTATTCTAATTACTTCAAGGATAAAAGTGATAAAGGGGTTGAATCTGTGTAAAAGAAACTGGAAATTACATCCCAGCTTTAGCCTCTTAGTGTCCCCATCTTGGTCATAATTGTATGCATTCCAGTCATCATAGCTGTGTGGGGCTGTGTGTGCATGCACATGGAATAATTTGGCCTACTCCAGAAAACAAGAACGATTTGATGATTGATTATAGGTATGATCAGTACTTCCTGAAGGTCTGTGAAGGATTCTTCATCTGTTGACCTATGGACCAATCATGGGAACCACTGTGATTTCTAACCACTAATGGACCTGCTCCTCCAGAAACATTTTATATTGTTCTGTTTGTGCTACTGTGAGGTTCACTGTATTCCAGACTGTGCTTCATTTGTGCCTTTTTCTATTTTAATTCATCTTATGAGTAAATGGAAGAAACACTGAAATATTAGGTATCTTTTGACTAAAAACATATGTGGATTAATATTTCATGTTTTTCTTTTTTATTCCCCCTCTGTCTTTCAGCTCCAGGGTTCCTTGAAAAGAAAACAGGTAGTTAACCTGTCTCCTGCCAACAGCAAGAGGCCTAATGGCTTTGTCGACAACTCATTCCTTGATATGAAAAGAATCCGTGTTGGGGAGAACCTCTCTGCAGGACAAGGGGGCCTCCAAGTAAACAATGGACAAAGTCAGATTATGTCAGGGACCTTGCCCATGAGCCAAGTGCCCCTGAGAAAGACTAACACTCTTCCACCCCATACACATTCTCCTGGAAATGGTATTTTTACCATGGGCTTAAAGGAGGTGAAGAAGGAACCGGGAGAGACTCTGTCTTGCAGTAAGCACATGGATGGCCAAATGACCCAGGAGAGTATTTTTTCCAGTAGGTATGGGGATGACCCTGGAGAGCAACTCATGGATCCAGAGCTGCAGGAGCTGTTCAATGAACTGACCAACATATCTGTGCCTCCCATGAGTGACCTTGAGCTGGAGAACATGATCAATGCCACCATAAAGCAGGATGATCCATTTAACATTGACTTGGGTCAGCAAAGCCAGAGAAGCACCCCCAGGCCCTCTGTGCCCATGGAGAAGACAGTGATCAAAAGCGAATACTCACCTGGTCTGACCCAGGGCCCCTCGGGCTCTCCACAGTTGAGACCCCCATCAGCTGGCCCCGTATTCTCCATGGCCAGCTCTGCCCTCTCCGCTTCATCCCCAGTCACTTCTGTCCCTCAGAGTCAGGCTCAGCCTCAGACAGCTTCAGGAGCAAGCCGGGCCCTGCCAAGCTGGCAGGAAGTTTCCCATGCCCAACAGCTAAAACAGATAGCTGCCAATCGTCAGCAGCATGCCCGGATGCCGCAGCACCAGCCTGCCAACTGGTCAGCCTTGCCCTCTTCCACTGGGCCATCCCCAGGTCCCTTTGTACAGGAGAAGATCCCCAGCCCTTCTTTCAGTCAGCAGCCATTCAGCCCACAGAGCTCTCCCATGTCTGGGGTGGCAGGGGGCAGCAGCCAGTCAAAAGCAATGGCCAACTACATATACAAGGCCAGCCCGTCAGCCCAGGCAGGGCATCTGGATGTGCTCATGCAGCAAAAGCCTCAGGATCTCAGTCGAAGTTTTATTAACAACCCTCACACAGCCATGGAGCCCCGTCATGGCAACACCAAGCCTTTGTTCCATTTTAACTCAGATCAAGCAAACCAGCAGATGCCTTCGGTTTTGCCTTCCCAGAACAAGCCTTCTCTCCTACACTACACCCAGCAGCAGAGCTCGGTGTCTGCACAGCCGCCACCACCGCAGCAGCCACAGCCGCCAGCCCAGCCGCTGGCCCAGCCCACCCAACCTCTACCAAGCCAGCCTTTGCTAAGGTCGCCCTTGCCACTTCAGCAGAAGATCCTGCTTCAGAAAATGCAGGGTCAGCCCCTCACAGGACTGGGGTATCAAGTCTCCCAGCAGCACAGACAGGTAAGAGCCATGTCACCCCTGACACAGGCACCCAGAGACCATCAGCTTAGTCATTGTGCTTTGGTGACTGTTAGGTTCGTGTTGGGACATAACTAAGATTACAAGGACAGAGCAGTCCTGTTGGATTCATACGAATCTCACGACCTCCTGAAGTCTGGTTCACTTGGGGCATCTGGAGGCAAGAGCTAGTTTTCCTTGCACAGCACCACACCAGAAACTGCAGTGGCTTGCTTACTAAGAGTGTTGCATTATAATTCATGCCTTCTGTGGTGTGTCTAGTTGTCAGTAAGATTCTGATATGCCCATTGTTTATTCACCCAGACAGTAAAATGGTCATTAAGGCAACTTGCACATCCTAAGTACAGGCCACATGCAACAAGTTATGATTTTTCTGAGTACTGAAGGCCAGACCTGATACTGAGAGTATTTAATGACCAGTCTATGCCCATACCAATGGTTAAAATGTCTAAGCGCCCAACACATCATAATAGATACTGCTATGACTCCATGCTGGTGCATTAGTGGTGAATATCAGCCCTAAGTTAGACATGGTCCCTCTCTGTAAGCACTTTCTGGAGAGGGAGACAGACTTTAAAAACTGTCATTTAATACCAAGCGGAAAGGGTAATGATATGAGAGCCCAGAGTTTAAGTATCTTACCTGGAAGGGGAAATCAGGGAAGTCTCTGGACAAAGTAATGCCTGAGTTAAGTGTTACAAGGTAAAATCATGATTTTACGAAGAAGGGTGGCAAACAAGCTGTGATCACCTTCTATCCTGTGATTGACATTAGCAGAGGTTTGATTCTGCCCCAAACATGGGTAGTATGAAGAGACAGCTCTGTGCCTCCAGATCACATAATAGTGAATAAGCTCTAATCCCCAGGGAACCTGGAAGAGGACACTCTTCCTGGAAGGGAGGGAGGGAAGTAAGAAGGAAGGAAGGATAGGAGGAAGGAAGGGAGGAAGGAAGTCTGGATGCAGCTTTGCGCGTGTAATTTGACAGATCTGCGTTAGTGTCCAAGCACAAAAATAGCACATTACATGTCAAAACAATAGGATAGGACTGTGCGATGTCACCAAGCCTAATTCCTACCACATTCCGGGAAGTTTTCGTGGCTGCTGCCCAGAAGCAAATGCCACAAGCACCACAGATTGTGGTCAAGCTGACCTTTGCCCTAGATGTGTGCTAAGAAGAAACAGACTCAGCTAAGATTCAAGAGCTGTGCACCAAGTAAAGCCTTCAGCTCTTACACACTTAAGAAGTGTGTTTTTTTTCTTTTATATTGTAGATTAGGCAGAATAGACTTGGAGTAGAGTCATGTGTATGTTTTACAAAGTTCCATTTTAACATGGGTAATTTGGGGATCCTTTATAAACAAACAGTATTACGTAACTACTTTCTAGTGTTATATGTAGCTCTTTGGATTTGGATGAATCTAGGTTCAAATTCTTACTCTTGACATTCAACAGCCATGTGACCTCAAACAAGTTATCAAACCTCTCTAAGCCTCAATTTCCTCACCTGTAAATGGGGATAATAATAATATTTTTCTGAGAATTATTGATTTTTTTTTAAGAATTGTATGATTGAGAAAATAGTATTTTTGAGAATAAAATGAGATAATCTTGAGCCCAGAATTTAGAAATAAGTTGACTATTTTACTATGGTTATCATGGAAAGTGCCATATATGATACCAAAACATTTTTTTCACAAGCATTACTACTATATAGGTGAGGCATTGGAGTAAATCTCGAATTCTAACATAAACAGAGTTGAAGTACTTAGAGATCTAGCCTTAATTCTTCTACTGCCCAGCAGCATGGAGAGTGAGAAATGGTTTACCTTCCCTGGACCCAGACCTCTGGCCATAAAAATGGAAATACTAAATAATGAGGTATTAGTAAGAGTCAGCATTCATTATGTACTGTACAACTGGCATGACTTCTGTCTGCCTTACCTGTGGTATCTCATTTCATCCATATGATGGAAATACCATTATTCTCATCTTACATGTAAGACAATCAAGGCACAGAGACACTAAATAACTTTTCCAAAGTCACACAGACAGTAAGTAGCAGAGCCAGGCTTCTGATGGTCTGATTTGCAGGTTGTTCTTTCAACCACTAGGCCATACAGCACACAGGTAGGATTTGTTGGGAAATGAAGACCACATGTAGATCATTGTGGAATTCTCAAAGAGAATTATTTCATATATTATTGAACATTTTTACATCATCTATATAGTAGATTAAGGAAGTCTTAGATTGCTTGCCTTCAGAGCTGTTCAAAGAATTTTAAAAACCTGTGTGACTGTTGACCTTCCTGGGGGTGAACATTGTGGAGCTAACCAAAATAAACAATTTACAACAGGAAATATCTCTTTGGCACCCCATCAGCCCCCTTTGGGAGTCTTCCGCCACCTCCAACATCCTCTGTCCTGTTTCCGGCTCTATTGCTCATATCAACAATGCACCATACTCCCAACCTCTTAGTCCCCACCCGAGCACACCAGTGGGTGCTAAGGGCCAAATCAACCAACATCTTTCAATGCCTTAGGTAATTTTTTACTTTGTCCAGTGCATATGGCATGTATGATGCCAAGTAATTTTCATTTTTTCAAGAAGATCCTTATAAAGTTATAGAAATGGTGGTGCCATTTCAAACTAAAGGCCTCTTTTATGCAAGGTAGACAATGGCTACCCATTTAAATAAAGCTTTATCCAACTTTGTATATTGAACCACATTGTCTCTTTCAGCTCAATGATTCTATGAGGTTTGGCTCTAAAGTCTTTTGTCTTGAGTTGTAAAAAAATGTACCAGGGCCCTATAGTCAAATAAGTGTTGCCGTCTTGAAAGTACTCACCTTTGGGGTTTAGGACTCATTCTAAGAATGGTGTTATTGCTCAATGTAGTTACAAAATTTTTCTCTGGGGATTGTCTTCAGAGCTTTTGGTACGTTGATTGGATTATTACCAATGCAATAATACTCATCCTGTTCACATGAGTTTCAAAACAGTCAAGCTGGGTAATGGCTCAAAAACAAGGAATTACTGTGATGCAATAGAACTGCATTTTGAGTTTGATTTTTTAACTTTTCCTGAATTCAATAAAGAAAACAAATGTGTTACTTCCCAACATGATAATTTGAAGATGCAACTTTCATTTGGATGTATATATTACTAAGGTTTTACTAATTCTTATTGTCTCATCTAGTATATTGCCAAATATTCTCAACTCAGAGAGAGTAGTTTTAACCCTACCATCCACAGTAGACAGCACAAATGTGTATTCTCATTTCAGATTAGTTTAAGTCTCTTGTTACTCATGACTGAAGTCATGGGAGAGAAGGGATTGGGAGTTAAGCAACTCTTAAATTTGTCTGCTAAAGCATCCTAAATGAAAACACTCATCATCTTTTTTCTGCTTGTCATATTCACTTTGTATCAAACATAGGAAAATGTACTGTGGAATTTGCTACCTAGAGCTCTTTAGCCTTGGAAATGGTGCAAATCTTGGCTTTCTGCTACAAGATGGTAACTGAATTTGTTGCTCAGTTGCCTCTAATTTACCCAGTAGAATGTGCAAAGGTGGCCTTCTCTTCACCTTTCAGAACTCTGAAGCCAGACAGATCTGCATGCAGAATTTGAGGGATGCCTATGCCCCTCTCCCTTAATTGGGTACCCACATCTGTTCTTCTAGGTATTAGTGGTGCCCCAGAAGTGGATGCAGCATAATGGAATTGTTGGAGACTTCTTTATTGTTCCATGCCTGGGTGTTTTCAAATAATCCCTTCTCTGGAGACTCAGAGAACAATTGGTATTTGGTGTTTCACAAAATGTCTCCAAGTGGCTCTCTGTCTTGCTAATGTTTGGGGCTTGGCAAATGGAAATAACCTCCTGGCTATAATTTTCTTCCCTTTCTTTGAAGGTTATGGGAGAGGGCAGGAGAAGGATGTAATGCATGCAGTCCTGATTTATCTTGAAGTCACTGAATACTTATTTAAAGTGTAAAAGAGTTATTGATTGACCAGAGCTCATGAGTGTGTTCAATCCAAAAACTCTAACCTTCTTGAACCAAAAGGTGATCTTTTTCAGAGCTATATAACCAGACACTTAAAAGTATGAATCTTTTTTTCTAACATTAGATCCATGACACTCCATTGGATTCTATATTTGGCTTAGAATCTCTAAAAACCCATCTCTAAAAATTCTGAGGGGGAAGGCAGCCAGTGAATGGATGGTTTGTTATGACCGAAACATAAATTTGTACATTTCCTCCTCAGTTTAAAGCCAAGCTCCTCAATCATATGTTAAGAACCTCACCCCACTCTCTCTACCTAGCCAAGTTTATCCTTCACTACTCTATATATCAACCTTTAGTGTAAATCAGGAAAGTCTCCGAATGTTCTCCATCCTCTTCTTTAAGGTAATTTTGTATATATCTGATCTTAAATATGAACACTCAGAAAATTGTTTTCCAGTTGGCCTGGTTAGGGGTGCAAGAATCACTGTAGCTCTCATATACTGACAAATCCTTATAATTTCCCAGTGAAAGTGCCAGAGAAGAGGTAGAACCTTGGATCAGCTGGGAATGCCTTTTCTAATGGAAAAGTAATTATAAATTCAATGTTCTGCAACAACATAACATGCAAACCACCCCTTTGCAAGAGGCTCGTGGTGGGCTAATGTGTTAACCAGTTAGGCTAGTGCCAAGGTTTGGGTTTAGGGGCCAGAACCAGGTTAGAGAAAGTCAAGAGCAGGAAGGGGCAAGGCCAAAACCAGTTCAAAATCCTAGAAAAACTGGAAATAGAACCAGTCAGTACACTCAGGCCCCAGGAGTGAAGTCAGAGGATGGTAAACAAGCCTACTGTCAAGGGTAAAGTATAAATGACATGAAATCTAGTTAGGACAGAGAACCAAGAGGTGCTAGGTGATGTTGCAAATGACGCTGACCACCAGGTGATGTCCATTCTGACTCACTTTGGCCGGGTTGTGCTC